AGAATACATCGCTAAGCACTTCCACCACCCACCACCTACCTTCTCCATTCCGTTTCCTTTGCAGCCGTACACTTCCCTTCCATATCCTCTGTACGTGTCATGTTACGCTCACCCAGACCTCCGCGGTGACGTTGAGACTTCAGACAGACAGCAGAGACTTCTTCAGCGGTTGGTTGACGACGATGGTGGTAGCGGCAGCAGTGGAGGAGATGACAACGGGAAGGGTAAGAAGGTGGATGGTGCTGAATTAGAGTGTTGTCTGCTCGACGACCTTTCCTCAAATACGAGTCAATAGTCGTGAGGAAGTAGAGGAGGCGGGGTGGAGGCATTTGTCACCCTTCAGGTTTGGGTTCACTTCCACTCCGTTGTCATCGTTCTCATCGTCGTCGCGGTCGTCGTTATCGTCATCATTTTCGCTAACTACAATGACAGCATTTCCGGAGGGCGAACTGGAGACGACGCGATGGACGCTGGCGACGGAGTTTGTGAATTGTGGAGTGTGCAGAAGTTGCGGAGTAGGAGGAGGAGAAAGGAGAGGCGATAGAGGAGGAGTGGATGTGGTTGAAAGGAGGTGATAGGAGAGGATGTACAAGTCAAGCTCCACGTCGAAATCCTGTGGTAGGTGGCAAAAGGGATTTGGATTTTACCTGTGAAGTGGAGTCATCTAGGCAGACATATAGCCCATTAGTTAGTGAGCTGGTGGGGTTGTTAGGATGGTGGAGAGCGAAGACGAGAAAGCGCAGAAGAATGTTTGTAGAGATGGAGGCTTACTTAATTATGCCAAAGAAAGTATAAGATAGATTAGTGCTGACTTGGATCAGCCTAATGCTTACCAACTAGTGAAGACGTTGCTCTCTCAGTTTGTAAGGAAGGCCGTTGTTAACTCAAAGTTAAAAAAAGGTTGAGTCAAAGTGGTAGACCAGTAAGTTACTCGGCATTTCCACTTCTGAATTCATCATAAAGTGCATTGGTTGAGGCGATGCCATCGTAAGGCAGTCTTGTGGCAAGACAGCAGCTTGAATGCTACATCAACAGCATCTTCATGCGCAACCGGTGAAGTGAAATCGCTCACGCCATGTGCGAAGTAAGTGAAAACAGGAGTGCAGTTTCAAGTCGAAATCAAATCATCGCATTGGTCTGCATTTGCCCTCATGTCTCTTATAAACCTGTCTAAGCATTGGCGGTCAGATAGTGCCTTCTTCTTTTGGCCGTACACATTTCGTCAATCCGAATTCGATCC